AAAATGATTTTTATACACACTTCAAATGTAATATTATGTACAACGTCAGCGTTTTTATAATAATCCCTGTTGGCTACAAGGGGTTGTCAGAGCACGTCTGCCAAAGCACACGGTGCAGCTCTTTCTAATGTTATTTTCACAGGGGCTTTGAGTGCTCCGTGGCGTGAGACGCATGCCACCTTGACCTGTGGGAGTCCATGGTTTGCCTTTGATAAAAAGACAATAGAAAGGTTGCTGTCCTCTCTAAACCCATTTGTTTCTATTGAAGTTAGACACCAACAATCTACCCTCTTAATTCAGAAGGTTAAGTTCACTGAGAAAGTGTGAAACATTGGTAGGTACCGCTACTATTAATGCAGACGTGAGAATTACTAGACAGTGTTCATGTTCAGATTTTGTTCACTGAACCTAAAAGATCTCTTCGTATATAAAAAAGTGCATTCTTATATTGTCAAGTCTTCCATGTCTTAATTTTTTTAAATTAAATTTATTTGAAGCAGGGGAAGGGAGGGAGAAAGAGGGAGAGAAACATCAAAGTGTTGTTGCCTCTTACACACTCGCTACTGGGGACCTGGCCCACAACCCAGGCATGTGCCCTAGATTGGGATTCAAACTGGCAACGCTTTGGTTCACAGGTTAGTACTCAATCCACTGGACTACACCAGCCAGGGCTCATGTCTTAAGTTTATAGCAAAAGGCCAGTAAGGTAAGGCAGTAGAAAAGAATAGCTCCTGATACATAGTTAAGTTTTTAAAAAGAACAAGTTGTAGAAGAACAGGTGTGTTTCCATTTTTCCTGTGTGCATTCTGTACGCACAGTTTGTATGGTAGGTGCGTGTGCCCGGTTGTAAACAGTGCCTGCACCTAGGAAGGGGCAGTGCGGAGAGAGGCAGCACTTGGACTTTCGCTTTACATACTTAACTGTTGTTTGAATTTTTACAATGCACTTAATTACTTCTGGGATTTTTACAAAATGAAAATTGATAGTGATTTAAGTTTAAAGTAATTTTAATCCATGTTCTGTATTTTCTAGGAAATTTTTTTTGTTAAGAGGCTTTTTTGTAAAACTTCGGTAATGCTAGTTAGAATTGAAAATATGTGGAAATCCAAATAATTAGAAGTTAGAACTTATTTCATGGTATTATGTGATACTTCATACAGTTTGCATTAGGAGTCAGCTTTAACCTGATTTTCTTATATCAACTTACTTGGAAATAAAAACAAAAGCACCTGTTTAGTCTAGAAGAAACTATTCAACATCAGAGCGGTTTCTTCTGAAACTGTGCATTTAGTTCTGCGGGGAGTAACCTGCTTACTGCCAGGCTACGGCCATGAGACCCGGTAGCCCTCGTCAGCCTCTTCGCAAGGTGTTTTGCACACAGTCACGCCCCCTCGCCTTGAAAAAACGAACCGAAGGAAGTCAGTGACTACAAGACGGCCCACCACAGAGACCAACAGGCACAGAGGATCTGCAAGGGAGGGCGAGCGGGTTTCACAAAAATTCTTCCCAGACTTTCAGAAGTCTGAAGCCGCGAGTCTCCAGAGTCTCTTCAGTGAAGGATAAACACTAGTACTAGACCTTAAGACACCGAATTTGGGGAGGTAATGGCACTGTATGTCAGAATAGAAAGGGTACAAAAAAGCCAGGTCATTCCAGTAAAACACAGGCCAGTTCCTCGGGGGGCACATGCTGCTTGTTTTCATAGCTCTTGAGTGTGGAAAAAAATTTAATTGCTTTTCAAAATGCCTGCTAGCCCTTAATCATATGAAAAGCTGCTCAATCTTTAATTAACTTTAATTTTTTAATTACATTAGAAAATTAATTAATGCAAATGAAAACTCATACTGAGATACTGATTTTCATCTGTCACATTGGTAAAAATTCGAAAGTTGGACAGTGCTCACTGTTGACGAGATGTTGGAAAACTAGAACTCTGACCTGCTGCTGGTGAGAGAGTGGAAGGATTTAACCTCTGCGGGCGGTCGGGCCGCATCTGTCAGATTGCCAGTGCAGTCCTCCTCAGTCCAGCAATCTCAACGTTAGGGAACTTAGTTCTACAGAGGTATGTAATCTCGTGTGTGCAATGCAGGCACATTTATAAGTCTCTTTATTACAAAATTGATTGTTACAGAATTTCTGGAAACAACATGGTGTACCCACACAATGGAATATTACGCAAGTGTTTAAAGAAAAGAGTCTTTCCCCAGACTGATAGAGGAGGGTGTCTAGGCTGTACTGTGAAAGGCAGGGTCGGGGAGTACAGAGCTGAGTACTTCATACCCTGCCTTTTGTAGTGAGAACGGTGAGAAGCCCTGTCCTTACATGTTCACTCCAGAGGCGCTGCAGACACTAACGGAAGTGGTTGTCTCAGTCGACGGGGGCGCCGTGAGAGTTCTCAGTGTGTACCTCTTAATGTACTTAATGTACCGCTGATTTTAGAGAGAGAGAAAGTGGGGAAAGGGGGGAGTGTGAGCGAGAAACACGGATGACCAGCTGCCTCCCCGTCCACGCCCTGACCAGGGACCAGACCCGCAGCCTTCTGGTGTACGGGCGACCCTCCAACTAACTGAGCAACCAGCCAGGGCCCAGATTTTTTTTTAATTGAGAATATGTTTCTTCTAAACAGAGGTCATTTGTTTTTAGATTTTATAAATGTGCAAAGACTATGTCAAAGCAAGAAAAATATAAATTGATTGGATCAATTTTCTTTCTTTTTTTTTTTTAAAGATTTTATTTATTTATCTTTAGAGGGGAAGGGGAGGAGAGAGGGAGAGAAATATCAATGTATGGTTGCCTCTCATGCGTCCCCTGCCGGGAACTGGCCTGCAGCCCGGGCATGTGCCCTGACTGGGAATTGAACCGCGATGCTTTGGTTCACAGGCCCGCGCTCAATCCACTGAGCTACACCAGGCAGGGCTGGATCAATTTTCTTAATGCATGAAATACACTGTCTGAAGTATCTCTTGGTAGATAAGCCCTGTCTACATCATCTACGCACTTCTCTTTATTCATCTACTGATAAGCTTTATTTTTAAAAATTTAGTTGCATTTATTGAGGTGACATTGGTTAATAAAATTATACAGGTTTCACATGTACAACTCAACAATACGTAATCTGTATATTGCATTGCATAATCTGTATATTGCATTGCGGGTTCACCACCCAAAGTCAAGTCTTTTTTCTCTCATGTTTTTAATTATTTCACCATCTCAAAGACTTTGCTGTGAAAAAAGGTTTGGCTTTTTTCAACCTTTTTATTATGTAAGTTTTCAAAATAAAAAAAAAGAATATAATGAATTCCCACGTACCTATGTTTCCAGCTTCAAGACTTACAAACAGTTGTGCCTTTTTTAGTGCATTTATCTCTCACCCCCTTCCCCTCCCTCCCAGAATATTTTAAAGCAAACCTTACATCATATCATTTCACCTATAATAGTCCAGTTATATATCTCTAATTATCATGACATTTTATTATGTATCCTGGTTTTTAGACAGATAAAGGGAAATGTGTCCTCCACATTCATTATTCTTTCCCACTTCACTGGGGTCATTTCCTGTCAGCATACGGAAAAGGGACTCGAGTGTCTCCTGTGTTTAAAAAATGTAGGACCTCCCTTCTCCTCATTTCCCTCCAGCGGCCATTCTCTTCCCTACACTTTTCAGGCACCTATCTCCATTTCCTTAACTTGAACCTCTCAGCCAGTGCCAGTGGGACTCCCATCTCCATCACTAAGACTGTTTTTGCTAAGGTTACCTGTGACTTCCCATTAAATAAATTCAGTAGACACCGTAGTTCTCACCTCTCAGCAGTCCTCAACACAGGTGACCTCCAACTGTCTCAGCACCTGAAACCTAATTTTTAACTTGCTCCAGCCATCCGCCAGCTGCTCTGCAGAAACCTGGGATTCCTCTCCTACCTCCCATAGACGATCCCCAAGTCTTACTTAATTCATTGTGTGTCTCATTGGTCTACCTCCCTAATGAAAGCACCACCCCCTGCCAGTTTTGGGTTAGAATCTACCTCATATACTCTCTTGTAGTATCCTGTAATTGCCTCTCTCCCCTTTGTAACATTTTTCACACTTACAGTCACTTGCTTATGTTAGTTTCTTGTTTTTTAATTTCTTAGAATGAAATTTCATTATTTGTCTAGGAAAGACATGTCAGGCAGAGGCCAAGACAGCCTTGTTTGTTGCTCTGTCCCCAGTGGTTAGCAGAGTGTCTGTCTGGCACAGAGGCATCATCAAACATTTGCTGAAACGAACAAAAGTCTATTTAGGAAAATCCCTAACAAACGATAATGGGCAGTGAGTTCTGATAGTCAGGCCATGGAAGGGAGCTAAGGAATTGGCAGCAGGATTGAGAGAATTGGGGGAGTGAGGGGCGCGGAGGTCAGTGAGGAGGTTGCAGGTCTTGCTGTTAAATGTGGGATGTGAGAGAAGGGGTGTCAAGAGCGCAGGAGATTTTGGCTTTGACGACTGAGGGGCTCATGATGCCATTCTTTGAGAAGACCAGGTATGAAAGGAAGACCGGTGACTTTAGTTTCAGACCTGTTGGCTTTGAAGAACTTCCTGTGGGACCCCGAGGTGGAGAGAACCAGTAGGCAGTTACAAGAATGGAAATGGAGTTCAGGAGAGAGAGAGGTTTTACTGCATCACCGATTAAACCAGTGAAATACCATTGGTCATTCAAGTGTAAACTGATAGAAGTTTGGTCAGTCAGACTTTTTATCACTGGTACAGAATGGCAGATACTGGGTATGGATGCTACAGGTGTGTATTTTATGTCATAGAGAAATGGAATTTTTAAATTATCGTTCAACATCCTGTGAGTGTTAACTAACAATAGCTGCGAAAACCAACATCTCATTTTCATCGTTACTTTGTTAATGATAATTTATGCCTTTTTCATATTAAAGGTGAAATAAAAACTGTGGGGTTTGTGGATCTTTATGAGGACTTGCCGCCATGGCATTGACCTTTTTCTTTTATTTCTCTAGGGCCTATTCCCTGGTGGATTCCAGTCAAGTGTCTACATTTCTCATTTCCATTCTGCTGATAGTCTACGGTAGTTTCAGGTAAGATGCGCCCACAGCGGACTAGTGTCACGGAGGTGTTTGAGAAAGCATTAGCACCCGAACATAAATGGTTAAAGTGGGATAATTCTGGTACTGATTCTTTAGAGGCTGCTGTTAAAACACTTGGTTTTGGTTATATGACTTTGGCAATTTTTATTTATTTATTTTTAGAGAAAGGGGAAGGGGGAGAGAGAAACATGGATGCGTGAGAAATGCATAGATCAGTTGCCTTTCATGACCTGACCTGGGGACCTGGCCCACAGCCCAAGGTGTGTGCCTTGACTGGGAATCGGTCCTGCACTCAGTCCACTGAACTATACCAGCCAGGGTGACTTTAAGATTTTAATGCAAACGTGCGTTGCCTGAATTCTGGTTCTGAAAATAATGACTCTCAAGGGCACTCATTGGGAAGGTTAGAGGAGGCTTCGTGACAGTGACTCTGCAGTCTCAAAAGGGACACAGTGGTTTTCGTAATATGGAGGCATTGGCGTAGGTTGAGCCATATGAAGTTGCTCAGTTTTTTTGACGTATAGAAATAGTTTATGGTTCAACTTACTGTTACTGGAATTATGGACATTAGCATGTACCAAGTATTTTCTCTGCTGACCTTGGGAATGCTGAGACTGGATCCTCTCGAAAGCCCTGTCCCAGCAGGCAGCCACAGGAATCGGGAGCTAGGCCCTTCCTCCCCTTTTTCACTGTCCTTTCTAGAAAGAAACTTTAGTGATTGTATAACTGGAATAGTTTTGTGGCTGATGCATTTAACAGTGGCCACATGAGAAATTTTGAATTGAGAACTTGAAAGGGATCGATGGTAATAAGTGAAATGGCATAAGGATTCCAGTATTATAGCTGGATCGTAATGGGTACTTAGCAGAATCACAGGCTTTATCTCAACACTGATTAGAACAAGTGCAATACTGTTGGTAATTCCATCGTCGACTGGTAAAAGTTTTAACCACTGAGACTTGTATTGAGAGCCCTAGGTTCATAACGACTCTTAGGAAGTAATAATCAAGTCAGAGCCACTTCGAACCTTGTCATGTAATCTTGATATTTTGTATTCCTATCTTTTGGACAAATTTCTAATTTCTTCTCTTTGTATATATACTGCGTCAACATTTCAAAAGACTTGGTAATTTTATTTATTAATTTTTGCAGTCCTTTCCCAGTGATACGTTTACCTATTTAAGGGAGGGAAGGGGGAATGGAGGGAAGGAAGGAGAGGGAAAGAAAGTAAGAGAAAGAAATATTGATCAGTTGCCTCCTGCATGTACCCTGACTGGGGATCAAACCAGCAACCCAGCTGTGCGCCCTGACCAGGATGGAACCCACAGCCTTTTGGTGAGTGGGATGATGCTCCAACCACCTGAGCCACGCCCAGTCAGGGCAGGACTTGGTGGCTTAAAAAAATCTTTAGACTCACAACCCTAATACTACAGTAAATACTCATTTAATGTCATAAACGGGTTCTGTGACTTTTTAAAAAAGATTTTATTTATTTTCAGAGAGGGGAAGGGAGGAAGAAAGGGGGAAATTTTAACATGTGGATGCCTCCCAGGTGGCCCCCACTGGGCACCTGGTCTGCAGCCCAGGCACGTGCCCTAACTGGGAATCGAATCAGTGACCCCTTGATTTTCAGCCCATGCTCAATCCACTGAGCTACACCAGCCAGGGTGGGTTACGTGACTTTAGTGAAATGACTTAATGAAGTATAACAAAGCCAGTTTTATTGTAGGCTAAATTGATGTAAACAAGAGTTAAGTTCCTACAGCATCTCACCCACGTTAAAACTGAATGACATTATTTGTACTTTCATTGGTATGTGTGTGACCTTGTGTTTGGCATATACTTGCGTGCTGCATACATTTTCACAGTTTAGATCATTTATATTCTGAGTATTTTCACCTAACAAAAACATTTTCCACAATCATTGATACACCGATTTTTAATAATTTGATGTTTCTTTGTGTTACTATCTTATTCCACTCCTATTGGACATGTGGGTTGTTAAGGTGACCATCTTTTTATGGGTTCTTTTGCATTTGGTTGAATTATACAAGTTAAATATCCAAAACTTGAAAGACTTTAGAGAGTATGAACCGGCTGTTACTGGATGTTGTCATACTGTTTTACAGGTAGGTTATACCAACCTAGGGTGATGCAGGTTTTGAACAAAATTTTATGGTATAAGTGTACCAAAGAATTATATTAATGGAAAAGATTTCTCTGATGAACTTCCTTATTTTACAAATGAGGAAACTGAAGTTCAACAAGATGTGGTAACTTGGTAAAGATTACACAGTTCATTGGTAGTGAGGTCTGGATTGGAACCCGGTGGTTAGGGCCTTGGTCCAGTACCTTATGTCTTCTGTACTTCTGTGATGTGTTCTCTGCAAAAAAGGAAATCATGATGCCTTTAGTTATACATTGAAATTGCCCTTGTTGAGTACGTTTGTGTTTTCTCCTCTTCTGTTTTCTGATGAAAAAGATTATATTTAAATTGTGGTATTTTGTTTTTTAAAATGCGTATATGAAGAACTCATCAGTGAAGCCATCTAAAGTCTGGGAATATTTTTTTATTTAATTTATTTTTAGAGAGAGAAGAGGGAGAAAGAGAGGGAGAGAAACATCTGTCAGTTGCCCCTTACATGCCTGCACCTGAGGACCTGGCCTGCAACCCAGGCATGTGCCCTGACTGCAAATGGATCCAGCGAACTTTCCGTCCACAGGCCGGTGCTCAGTCCACTGAGCCCCACCGGCCAGGGCTGGGAAGACTTGTTGTTGTTTCCTGCTTTGTGTACTACTTGTTTTGCTACTTGGTACAACTTCTGGTTTCATTGATTTGTGTGTGTGTGTGTGTGTGTGTGTGTGTGTGTGTGTTTTTGAATTGCACTCATCTTTATGATTTCCTTTCTTCTGCTTGCTTTGGGTTTAGTTTGTGCCTCTTTTTCCAGTTCCTTAAGGTGGAAGCTCAAGTTAATTGATTCGAAACTTGTCTTCTTTTTAAACATAGGCATTTAAAGCAGCAAATTTTCCTCCTAAGTACTGCTTTACCTGCATTCCACAAATTTTATATTTTAATTTCACTCAGTTCAAGATATTTTCTAAATTACCTAGTGATTTTTTTCTTTTGACACAGGTTTTTTATAAGTGTATTGCTTATTTTCTTAATATTTGAAGGTATTTCAAAATTCTCTGTTGTTGAAAGGGATCTCTGCTGTTGGGAAATAGATTGTTGGGTCAGAGGGAAAGGTGGAGTAAGGAACTCTGGGAGAGACTGTTGGCCTAGTACTGGCAAGAGATAACGATGGCTTTAAGTAGGCTAACAGCGTGGAATGAGGTATCGGTAGACTTCGGACAAGATCGCTGATGGAACGGATAGAGTTGTATGAGCGAGAAGAGTCGAGGAGGATGACTCTCAAGTTTTACGGCCTAAAACCTAGATCCAAAAGCGGTGCCGTTTTTGAGCTAGAAAGCTCCATAAGAGAAGTAGATTATAAAATATCAGATAAAAGCTTTGTGAAGTGGTCTACTTATTTCCCACTGGGCCTTCACATTTCAAGTACAGAGGGGAAAACTATATCAAGTAAAACTAGGTTCTAAAAACCAAACAAATCCTTGAATTAGGAGCCCTTACGTTTGCCATCCCTTAGCTGAGCTTTCCTAGACATCCTGTATTACTTGAAGCTGACACCTGTCTCTCCTTGATCTTCCCAGCTGCTCAGAGAAACGTAGTATATTACTCATCTTAGCAGTAAGTCCCCAAAGAGTTTGACAGACCCACAGGAAAGCATTGAAAGAGGGAGAGAACAGTAACTGGAAGGAAAAGTGAAAGGCTTAAAAGGGGACTTTTTTTTTTATGAGACCCAGGAATTATAATATGAGGCTGGTCTAAAATTTCTCAGGCAGCTTATTATTGGCAAGACACTTGAGTTGGGGCGGGGGAAGATGGAGTAATAGAAACTGGATTTACCACCCCAGCTGAAACAGTGATTTGCAAGACACTGTTCATACAAAAAAGGACAGTGACCCTGAGAAATGACAAACAGTTCAAGTCGTCTTAAGATGGTCCCCGGCCCCTGTGCCCCAAGTCGACTGACTCTCTTTCTTTTCTTTGTCTTCTTTCTTATCCTTAACCGAGAATATTTGTAATTGTTTTTTGAAAGAGAGGTAGGGAAAGAGACAAATGTCGATGCTAGAGAGAAGCATTGATTGGTTGCTTCTGTGCTCGGACCAGGGATCAAACCGGCCACCTAGGTATGTGCCCTGAGTAGAAATCAGACCTGCAACCTTTTCGTTACAGGATGACCCTCAGCCAACTGAGCCACACTGACCAGGGCCCCAAGTCCACTTTATAGTAACAGAAAATAGAATAGTGGTTAACAAAGGCTGATGCGTAGGAGTAAAGGGGAGGTACACACTCAGTTATAAGAGCAGTAAGTTCTGGAGACCTAAAGTGCAGCATAGCGACTATAGTTGTTAATAATGTATTGTATACTTGATATTTGCTAAGGCAACTATGGGAGGTAATGGATATGTAAACTAGTTTGATTGTGGTAATCATTTCACCGTGCGTACATATATGAAAACGTGTTGTATACTTTAAATATACGGACGTCTTTTGACTTAATGATGGGTTATGTCCTGATAAACCCATCGTAAGTTGAAAATATTGTAAGTCACAAATGAATTGAATACACCTAGCTACCAAATCCCATAGCTTACCTAGCCTGCCTAAAATGTGCTCAGAACACTTACATTAGTCTGCAGTTAGACAAAATGATATAAGACAGAGCCTGTTTTATAATAGGCATTGAATATCTCACATAATTTATTGAATATTGTACTGAAAGGGAAAACAGAATGTATGTGTGTGCGCCATTCACATACACAGTGGAAAATGTGGGCCCGAAGAATGGTTGAAGCCTTGAACTAAAATTCATTGCTGGTTGATGGGGATGTGACAGCCACAGGCTCAGCAATATCTGTCTTCTGAT